GAACGGCCCTACACGTGTGGGGAATGTGGGAAGAGCTTCGGGGACAACTCCAACCTGATCAAACACAAGCGTACCCACACTGGGGAAAGACCCTTCAAGTGTGGGGAATGTGGGAAGAGCTTCAGTTACAGCTCCACCCTCCGCAAGCACCAGCTCATCCACACTGGGGAACGGCCCTACAAGTGCTTGGAATGTGGGAAGAGGTTTCAGACCAGCTCCAAGCTCCTCGAGCATGAGCGGATACACACAGGGGAGAGGCCCTTCCGCTGCACCGACTGCGGGAAGGGCTTCAAACAGAACGGCAAGCTCGTCAGGCACCGGCGCATCCACACCGGGGAGAGGCCCTACAAGTGTGGGGAGTGTGGGAAGAGCTTCAGTCGGAGCTCCCACTTGACCCAACACCAACGGACCCACCAGTAAGGGAAGCCCTCCGAGTGCCCCGAATGTGGGAAGAGCTTCGGCCACTGCTCCCACCCCGAATGACTCCCCTGATGGTGAGGCAACCCCTGGAGTCCAGGGACTGTCAGTCCATCCCTTTCTACCAGAAAGGGCCAGTCCCCTTTGCCAGGGGCAGGTTGTGCCAACAGAACCCTTCTTGGGGGGGGTGTGGAGATTCCTGCCTTGGCTGGGACCCCCCAAGGTCAGTGCTGGAGGTTGAGAGCAGAGATCTCCCCCCAAGCGTTGGTCTGGGGGAGTTCCATCCCTCTCTAATTCATAATTCTTGCTTTGGTGCCAGCTTGAGTAGAATTGCTTCAACAATTGCTTTAGTGTAGAGCACTGTCCTGTCTTATGCTGTACTACTGGTAGTTTTAGTGTTTCTCTTGTGCAGTAAATAATTCTGATGAAGGTGTTTTGTCTGATCATTTGTAACTCTAAGTAATTCATTTCTATCAATAGAAGTGATTTGCCATCATTAAAACTTGGGGGACTAATGTGTTTAAGTCCCACCTCTGTAATTTCTTTGAACTGAAAGTGTTGGCATAATCCAAGGCTGAGATTGGATTCAGCAGCCCCCACACCTCCCAGAAGTTGGGAACTCAGGGGGGCCACCCCTTTTCCCAACTCTTCTGTGCCTAAAGACCCCCATGGGACCGTCAGACCCGCCACACCACCCCCCCTTTTCCACCTTTCTTCCTGTTTCTCCCACTTTTCCGTGGTCTCGTGTTACAATCTGTTGAAATATTGCAGAAAGAATTTCAGATTTGAATATTCCTTTGAGCAAAAATAAGACACACACAAGTTATTTGTTGATACCAAAATCCTGATTTTATTAATTGCTAAGAGATGCAGAGACAAAGGAAAAAATAAAAAAAAACTTACAGAATGCTTGCGATTACTTCTAGAAGCAGAGAAAAGGTACCACCATGCTACCTTTCCCCTGAGCTGGTGTGTGTGTGGGCGAGTAGCAGTTTTC